AACAAAGAGCAGGGATGACCTCTGGTCTAACACCTGCCACACTGATCACTGGGGTGTGTGCGTTATTGATCAGTGAATCCCCCACAGGGAATCAATGTGGTTTTCTGTCCCCTCTGTTAAGTACATCCTCCAGCATCATTATTCAGCTTCAGGATTTTAGTCCTCACAGTTACGTATCTGTATATGGGAACTTGTGTTCAGGTGCTCATGGAACTGGATTCCAACCCGTACAAATGAAGCAATCTACTTGCATCCCACTGTCAACAGCTGCACATCCTCAGCTGTGACCAGAGAAGTTAAAAGAAGCTTATTTTGTCTGATTTCTCAGCAGGTTTATGGACATTTATCTAAGAAAAACAACTGAATTTACCACCATGACTGACAGACCTGAGGATGTGGTTGATGAGTTCATCTGTCAGTGCACTAACTTTTGATCCAGTGCCAGTTATAGGAGAAAGCATGTGAACCTTTTTTATAACAAGAACATCAGTTTGTGCTTAGTGCCAGCGCTCTCCACCTTTCTGATCAAGCCTGAAGCCTCTCAGAGACGCGCCGGCGTCTAGCCGCAGGCTTCCACAGGGTACCTACTTATTCTGGAGTGGAATCCAGTCTAAGCACTGGACTGTGTCTCAGCGTGCTCACTTCGCCACAGCAGTGGCAATACTGACACGACTGTGGGCCTGCTGGACCGCCCAGCCTCCAGCTGGAAGCAAACACAGCTCAGTGCGAGTGTCTGGACACAGGCGAGCAGCGTTCGACCTGCTGAGGCGTTTCCGTGCCGCCACATCACCACCTGAGCTGCTCACCCTCCAACACCAACAACCCGGTCTAACCAGGTCATTAGCAGGAGGAAGCTCTGCAGCAGAGAGGTGGAAAAGAAACACATCTGCAGCCTGGCCTGCTTTACATTCCTAAATAGACCACAGAAAACGTTGCTTTCTGATTGGTCAGCAGTTTTAAAGCAGAGCTCCAGGTGTGTTAAACTGCAGGTACACATAGTAACAGGTTTCTTGTACTAGTGAAGTGACAGGTGAAACACAGAACAAACGCTATAAAACACAGAACAGCCTCTTCAGTAGAGGAGACAGAGTGAAGTATGTGGACATCCCGGGCCCCTAGCATCCTTTCAATCCAAGTCTGTTTTTCATGGGTTGGGCCTGTTGCAGCACAGAGATGAAACAAATAGTTGAACTCAGATCAACACAATGTTTCCTTTTATTTAGTTCAAACCATCAAATCAGGTGTTTCAGCTCTGCCTTGTTCAATGTGCAATCAGCAAACTGTGTATGAAGGGAATGTCTCCATATACCTTTGGGAAATGGGAGACGCCACAAACAATAACCTCCTCCCTGGAGGTTTTTGGGACTCTGCAGGACACCACTTAGTTTTTAATGAGTCTGCTCATTACTCAACCACACACACACAAACAAAGACTCCACAGGGGCCTGCTGTGGGCTGTTTAATAAGGCCTTCACTAACAGAGATGCAGCTGCTGGAGCTCATGCTCAGTTTCTTGCTGTGAAATTCAGGCAAGTGAAGCAACAACTGTGGATCAGGTGGAATTTACACAACAGTTGATAAAATAAGGCCACATTCAAAACTAGAACAGCAGACCAGCAGTCATAAGAGCAGTTTGCATGCACTGCAGCCTTCATTACAGACACGAGCAGCAGCAGCATGTTCAGACAGACAGCAGCCTCCCCATTCATGTCCAACACCCAGCACCACACTGGCCAACCAAACACATGGACACGCGTGTTATGAGGAGTCATTACTGATCAGTCTGATAATATTTTCTCCATTAATCCTTTGGTCTATAAAAATGTCAGGAAAATGTGAAAGGTGTCAAAGCTGCCAACCCAAATGCACTCAGTGTACCGTCACCTTAGATAAAGGAAAAGTGCAAATCCACCCACGAGGGTGAATTTGGTGCTGAAAATGACCTAAACAATTATCAGAGCTGGTACAGATTGTTTTTCTGCTGAATCAATTCATCTACATGTAAACAAATCCCTCTGAATTAAATCCTGTCACGTGTTTCAGAGTCAGCAAACAGATTCACATTTTCCTGCGTCTTCTCCGGCTATGACACCTCCTAACATTAGGTCTCAGCCAGTATGGTGCCATAACAAGGACCTGTCCAGCGAGGTCAAGTCTCACACACTGACAGGATGTCAACAGTAGAGTAGAGTAGGTACTTTATTGATCCCACACTGGGGAAATTTCTGTGTTACAGCAGCAATAGAGAACAACCAACATAACACCATAAGAACAGACACATAAGAACAGAACTTCATAGAAACACGGGAAAGAACACAACGAGCACACAGCTGCTGTAACCTGCTGCCACTCCACGCGGCGCATGCGTACGTAAGTAGTAGTAACAAAGAACACTTAGTCTTAAAATAAACAGTTCCATAAAGGCAACAAAGCATTAGCACCGATACACACAAGGATTATAAAAGTAGCATCATCAGAACGTTACTTTTTACACAGCACAAATAAGCAAATCAAAGGCAACTAAAATCAGGGCAGAGCAGCACTGGAGAGAATCAGGAACAGCAATAGAGACTAAACAATCAGGAAATCAAGAACAATTGAATATTACTCACACAATTAATCCCACAATGGGGGAAAGAAACCTATGTTTCAGCCATAAGGATTTCTGAGCAACTACTTAAAAATACCTAAAGCAGGGCAATGTACAATATTTGAGAGAGATCAGGAACAAGATATTACACATGAGCCTATTTACAATGCATTTCACCCCCAGGAGCTGAAATATTGCACCTCAGTAGATTATTACATAGTCCCTCATACTTTCACCTAGCTTATCACTACAGTGATGTGTTGTACAGTCTGATTGCTGTGGGGAGGAACGACCTATGGTAACGCTCCTTCTTACACTGGGGATGTAACAGTCTTGCACTAAAGGAACTGTTCAGAGCCTCCACTGTGTGGTGCAGGGGATAGGAGGGGTCGTGCATGATGGATGTTTTACCAGCATCCTTCTGTCCACCACCTCCTTGATGGAATCCAGAGGGCAGCCCAGGACAGACCCAGATCTCTTAACCAGCTTGTTTAGTCTATTTCTGTCCCTGTCCGTGCTACCTCCCGCCCAACCCACAACAGGGTAAAAAACAGCAGATGCCAAAACAGTATCATAAAAAGTCCAAAGGAGTGCCTCCCGCACACCAAAGGACCTCAGTCTCCTCAACAAGTGGAGGCGGCTCTGGCCCTTCCTGTACAGGGCATCAGTGTTGTTGGTCCAATCCAGTTTATT